TTCCTTCACCAACCAGGTGTGTTATGTCTGCTAGCAGCCCGCATGCAGTAAATTGAATTATACGAACATAGGCTACTGATTAAAAGTAAGCATTCGCCAGCTGTTAGTGGTAGAAGAAGTATTCAAACAGTTTTCTTCATTAAACTATTACAGTCACACAGTAAAAATACTGTCAAACTCCTGCATTCATTTATACTCAAAAGTGAAAAGAGGTTTTATCAACACAACATACTGACATTTACCATTTAACGGTTCAAGGTGAAGTTTGAACTTCTAATATAATGATAAACAATTGAATAAAACACCCTGCATGATGTTTTAGTTTGTAAGTGAAACCTTTGCCACTGTCCACAGTGCTCTGATCATTCCCATCAACACAACATTAGTGTCTATATACATTTTTATTTAATACAGTACGTTTGAGAAAATAAAGTAATCTTTATTTTGTTCTTAATTTGTTTAGTTTTTTTTCTCTTTTAAAGCAAAACAAACAAAAACAATCAGAAAGTGCAGATATGAATAAGTAAAGATAAGCAGTATCTGTAAAAGTAGTGCTGTCAAAACAAAACCCATCCCTACCGCCGATGGGCAAATTCTGAACTTTTCAGCAGGAAATGAAAATGTGCACTTGAACTATTGCGTACCCCACCATCCTTTGTTTTTCATTGAACTCTTGTACGTCTGCATGCTATTAGTCCAAGAGTGTAAAAGCTGCATGGATCTGTCTCACTGAGGCATACTGTTACTTTACCAGTGATGTTCTGGGGACTGACTGACTGCTCAGCTGACAGCCACTTCAGGGTCGACACATTGCAGCAGATATTGCAGACGGGACTGAATTCATGGCTGAGATACTTAGCAGGCCTGAGACAAATCCAGCTGGACTGACCAGCAGTGGTCTGTCTGTGTAAGCCAAGATGCCGACTGGGACTGTCTTTCAGTCAGTCTCTTTTTTTCAGTGTTTTTTTAGAGGCTGATCACAGTGTAACGTGCCAACGAGTGACAGACAACATGCTACTGTACTTGTCAAAAACACTGTGAAGTCAACCAAGTTTGCATAATAAATGCAGCTTAGCAGCTGCAGGATCGTCCAAAGAAATCTGTCCAGACTTGGGATGTGTGATGTTCTACCATTTTTATTTACTGCATGGAGTTGCCTGTGCTCACACAATCCACAGATTTTAGTGTATATTACTTATTATTCTACATGTTTACGTTTCTATCATTATGGTAATCATACATTTTATTTATCGATTATACGTAAGTGAGTCTTATTATAATTTCTAGTATGTTTTGTAGACTTTATATTTGTATGAGTATTGCATTATTAGTGATCAGCATAATATATTTTATGTATATCCGTGTGTGTGTGTTCTCTGTTTCTAATAAACTATTCATTTGATCTAATACTTCTCACCCCCAGCGGGTGTATTGCTGGGGGACCCAAATATAACACTGTTGAGTCGCAACATGTTTTAATGAGTAGTTTTGGAGAAATTTAAGGAGAGAACCATTACATGATAGTCAGTGATTGTTCGTTTGTGCTGGGGTAGCTCATTCATGCAGTCGACCTCATCCGTCACGACAGTGGTGCGTTGCAAAGATGGCTGCATCTGGTCAAAGCAGGGGTTCCTGCTGAGAACAAGTGACAGAGATGCCAGGGTGCATGTAATGAATATAAGTGAAAATCAGGTGGAAGCAGTGGTCATGGTTTTCAGTGTTAGTGCTGTTCATAAACAGTGTCCTGATAGACCTACTTCATCCTTCCCTGCATTTAGTTAAGTTTTAATAGATTATTTACTACTATGTAGCTATGAAAAGTACATGTTCTCATTTTTGAGACCAGACCAAACCATCAGAGGAGGATATCGAATTGACTGGGAGCAGAAAACAATAAAGTATCTTGGAGCTGTTCTACCTTAGCCAACTAAAACCCATCAGTTGTGATTAGTTACTTTGACTCCAGAGACACAGTTTCTGCTCCAGAATTTCCAGTAGCGGTAACAGATGAAGACTTCATGGAATGGAACAAAATGAATTTGAGATATACTGTCAAGAAGAGAGATGGAGGACCAGATATATAACTATGTAGTTAGCCAAAATTAAATGAGGGTTAGCTATCCCTTAGTGGAAGTCATATGATCAGGCTACACAAATAGAAAAAACTGGTAAATCTATGCAATCCCTCCTCTTTGAGATGGACAGACATTGAAAGTAGTACTACAGAGGGTGTTGAAAATTAGCTTAATGCTATACACTCAATATGCAATACAGAAGACCAACAACTTCTCTCTTTTAACGTTATTTATTCTGCAATATAATATTCTGCTTGATCAAGGATCCATCACTGGTTCAGAAAATCACAGTCAGCAAGCTGTTACTCTGTGACCAACTTCCCCAGCAATGGATGGAGCTTCATGTAAGCATAAATATTTTATTCAGTGTGGTGCAAGGTGATTGGCTACCAAACACAGACATTTAATTTAAATAGTGAAACGTGAATGGCTATCTGTTGGGGAGGAGCTGTGGTTTCAACTTAGCTTTCCCTTCGTTGATGCACAGATATGTCCATACCTCTCGGCACATGATTGGCGCACGATTCATCCAATCCACAGCATCCGTTCCCTGTAAAGGAAAACCTCCTTACTAACATCCTCTGCTCTCTGGATGTCAGTACTTTTCCTTCGTTTCGCTGCCATATACTGCAGC